ATACATATATTAAAAGGATTTATCATCTGTATTTTTTATTCCAATAAATATATCGCAGCTTCCTAGTCCTTTTTAATTAATCTAGTTTTTTAAAAACATTACAAAAAATAATCTGTTGTGCATAATTTATTGTTGATAACAATGTACATGGGATTTAGGAAAAATATATGTTTGAAATCAATTTCGTTTTGATCAAGTCTTTCAAATGTATTCCCTCCTTGCTGTCAGCTGATTGCGACGTTGCCACATTAATCCTCAAGTCAGACAGAAATGCAATTATTGATTTCTGTTTCTAATTAATACAGCTGTACTATGTTCAAAACTTACATTAGTTTTACATGAAAAATAAGATAATACTGTGTACTATCTATGGAAAAGTTTTTTTTCATAATTTCTACTCAGTTATGGACAAAAAAAGAGCCGCACCGTTCATCTTCGCCATATACCTATGTTAAAATGAACAACTTTCAACAACAATATCTCAAAATCTAGATTCAAAAAAAATTTCAAAAAAATATGACACACAGAGGGAGCACTGGGTAATACGCTATACAAATTCCACGTACATCTGTGCATTTTAGTAAACCCGATATACCTCCTTAAAAAAAGAAAAGAAGGTGTTGTATTAAGAAATAAGATATGTTGTAGAGATGTTTTAAAATCTTATGAGCTTTGACCTTCATATGCGCAGAAACATAATTCCGACCGTCGCCTAAATTATTCTACGTCCTAAAAACATTACACCTATTATTCACAGTCTCTCTCGAGCTCTAGCGTAAACAAGCCTTTGATCCGATTAGAAATATAATAAAATGCCCTATTCTTTATTATTTTAATTTAAACAATAAATATATATATAACGAACGTTCGCCAGTTGACTTTATTGATGCCCGAGCGCTTTAGTTCATGTCTACTTGTAATGATGCACATGGTCTAGTTCTGAGTCAATGTTTTCACAACGTGCTTATTAGAAGAATTATGGGAATACGTCACTCCTTTCGCGGATTTCGCGACCTATTAAAAGACCTGTAACTGTTAGACCTCTTTCAGGCATTTCTGCCTTTTCTCCAATTACGTAAGGATTTACAGATTCAGTGTAATATATTTTGACATATCGGACATTGATATGGTCCAAAATGCATATGGTATTTTAACTAAATCTCACTAATTAAGCCGTGAGAGGCGTAATTATATGGTAGGCAGTGATAGTGACAGGTAATGTCATGATAACATTGTTATTGATCGACAGTTTGTATTATTATTTAATTAAAATGGGTTACACAGAAATAGAAAATTGAAATATTATTAGGAATTAAAATAGAGTATTTTAATTAAATAATAATACACTATCAAACAATAACAATGTTGTCATTGTCACGGCCTACCATATAACATTATCCATGAATAATTAGGCCTCTCACGGCCTAATTAGTGAGATTAGTTAGAATACCTATACGCATTTTGGACCATATCAATGTCCGATATGTCAAAATATATTACAACTAAATCTGTAAATCTGTAATTGGAAAAAAGGCAGAAATGTCAGAAATAGGTCTAACATTTACAATACATCTTATTTTCTCAATAAAAAACTGCATTTTTGTATTTAATAGTATCTGGTTTGTTGTTAGAGATGGACCCAACAAACCCTATATGACTATGCTCGACAGAGAATATGTAAAAATATACAGGGTGTTCCATTTAAATTAACAAAGTAAATATCTGCGGACATTTTGTTTGGACTTCATTTGTTTTTTTACTATCATTTTCGAAAACTTCATAAAAAATCGTGCAACTTTTGTATTTCACATTTTTTTATAACTCTAAAAACAAAATAGGTAATAGGCGGGGGGTCAAAATATAGTGAATCACCCTGTACATGACTATTAAATTAATAAGTTTCAAATTGACCTGCAAAATTTCCCGATGCTTCACCCGTCGACCATTAAGGAATACGTCGGGACAACCATTTATTCCTTGATACACCGATTTATTTATAATTTAAATCAATAGGCGCTGTATTGTATGTAAATCAAAGGCCATTAATTTTAATCAGAATGTCGAACAGAATTTAATGGAAATATTATGGAAACGAATCGTTTGCCCCACATTTTATTGGATTTTAATAAATTCGCAGTTATTAGTATTACGTTTGATGTCAGCTTCCTTCAGAAGCTCCTTAATATCGCGACGTTAATTTGTTAGTACTTTAATTCACTTCACCACTTCAAGCTCGCTATATCGCTCAGATTTAAATTGCTGTTAATTTTAGTTGAATGAATTATTTAATGGGTTCTATGATCTGGCCTAAAAAGTATGGATTTTCTTCTAAACGTGTTAAAAGGAAGTGTAGGAAAGTGGTTATTTACAGTTTTAATATTATGAACAGCTTTTCTATTCTTCATGAAATAAATAATAGTAGCAGTTATAAAGCGAACTAGTTCCAACCATTATTCGGTTCCAAAGTAACGGTTCCGAGTAATGATTCCCTAGCAACGTTTCTCAAGTTGCGATTGTAACTTAACGATTCCAAAGAACGGTTCCCATGTAGTGGTTCCAAGGAACGGTTAATTTGACTAGTAAAGATTACAAAGTAACCGATACTTAGTAGAGGTTACTAATTTGGTCATTCTAGCGGTTATCTATAGACTTCATAGATAATCAAATTATCTTAGTAGACTAAAGTAGAGAACTTCACTAAAATAATACCTAACTATGTACATCGATTCATTTATATACAGGGTGTTACAAATTAGTAGGTTAACCCGTTATATTCCAATATATTCTTTGGAGTAAAATAATGGGACTCAAAATTAAATAATTTTTATTGGTAACTCCGGTTATTGTAGAGATATTTATTTGAAATTTATCATATATTTTGATCTTAAATCATCACACTCTTTGCGAAATTTTAGTTTAAAATATCAGAGGGCGGACGGAAGATTTTTTTTGAGTACGCCTATGCCTCCATTACACAAAAAGTGTGCCTACTTCAGATCAAAATATGTATTAAATTTCACATAAATATCTCTGCAATCACCGGAGTTATCAATAAAAATCATTTTTTAAATTTTAATTTTAACACCCTGTATTTTGAAAATGGGGATCCGAAATTAAAAGTGGGATAAGAAAAGTCCCATTATTTTAGTCCAAACAATATCTGGTTAACTACTTAACCTACTAATTTGTAACACCCTGTATGTATTTAAGCATTATCATATCACATATCTTCCATTTCAGTACCGTTCCTTGAAGTTATGTGTTCCACGCTCTTGCTAGAAAATATGGATTTTCTGCTAATAGTATGCTGACAGGAGAGTATAGAAGTAACTATTTGCAATTTCAACATTGTTTAATTCATTTTTCTACTCTTCATATAGGAAATAACAGTCCCAAAGTAACAGGTTCAAAATAACACTTCCACGGAACAGTTCCTAAGTAACGGTTCCAGTTCAGCTAACAATTCCAAAGTAACAGTTCCAAGGAAGTGTTGCCAAGTAACAGTTCCAAGCAACGGTTATTTTATAATATATTTTTTCGAAAACTGTCATCAAAAGTCGACATTTTCGCTGAATTTTCAGTTGACAAAGTGTCTTTTTTGTCACCTAGCTGTAAAATATTTTTATGTTCTAGAACGCCAACATTTTTTTTAATCAATTTAAATAAGTTGTAAATTGTACGAATTTATGAAATGTTTTATTATTTCTAATTAGTATTGCTAATAGTAGTAAAATAAATTGTTGGATATTTTGTGCTGTATTGACTTTCATACTGTTATGAGTTCCTGCAATAGATATTTCGAAAGCGTTCAGAGCCGTACTCAGGAAGAATGATAAATGATTTAAATGATAGCTAAAACAAGCTAAAAACCTTTTCAAGTGATTACAATAGTAATGTCATCTAATTCAGAATTAAAAATGACTAGATTTTGTTATAAAAACAGCAGCGACGTATTTAAAAAAATTAACCTGATGATGGCTCCTCGAAGATGAAACGTCGGATTGCAAAAATGTTGACGCCATTGGATAGAGCGAAAAAAGTGGCATTGTAAATAATAAAATTATTTTAAAATTCGTTTTCAAATAAAGCCTGAAAAATAAAATGATTTTGCAAAATTTCAGGTTTTTCCGGATATCTCCGGAACTACCCGGAATTTTAAAAGTTTCTAAACGGCATATTGTTAGGTATAAAAAAACACAAGTTTTTTCTAATCTGAGCCTTCCCGTATCTCTTACCGTTTCCTAGATATTAATGCTATCCCATCCTTATCTTGCACACACTGTATAACACAATTGTCTTATTTTATATGCGAAATGATTCTCGAATGGAAATAACTTGAATGCAAAAGTACCATTTCGCGTTCTAGATACAAAAATAACTATTTTTTATTTTGCTTGAATTAGCTTAATTCCTATAAACTAAAGTAAAATGAATACACAGTTTCAATTTTATAGCTTTTACAAAGACAAATTGCCTTAAAATTCATTAATATTTAATCACCGTCAGTCAGATTTCTCGATTTTACGCCAGTATCTAAAACGATTATAATTTCTGTATCATGCTGAATAATTGAGAACGCAGCTAATACCTTGTATCTCTCCCCTTGAGGGTAATTATCCTAGAAGGGTTATCTATGTCTTAAGTTAATGTCTGCCCTGTGCTTGTAGCATAATTGAAATGTGTGTTCTAAAGTATTCTGAGGCAGTTGAAGTTTGAAGACGTGAACAGTTAATAATGCCTTTTCCGTTGAATGTAATTTATGGTAATGAATTCCTTGTTTATTATGTAACATTATTTTTTCATCTAAATATCCTTGTTTACAAACCGCAATATATATGCAACCAGACATACATACCATGTGGATATTACTTTGTCCTCAGTTTTATCTAAACACTGTAGCCGAATGTATTTAAACCAGCATTGAAACTGGTATTAATAATATGTAATAAATAACTTGCTCTGACAATATTTTAGGATCTTCAGGTAATAAAAAGACTGCGTTCGCAACTTCCAAACATTTTTATTTAAAAAAATGTGAAGTCCTCACATGGATTGCACTTATATGTCTAACATTATAAATAAATATATAATATTGTACCCTATATGTATAATGCAACGTTTCCCCGGTACCTGTTTTTACAGTAATTTACATTTATTAATAACAGAAAATAGAACTAATCACATTTTTTCAATAAAACATAACTTAAAACGACTAAACTCTCGACACGAACTATTCTAAGCCACCTCATAGGGTTCGAACTCCATATCGTCAATCCTCTTCGTCCTGGTCTTGATCTTGTCGTAGTTGTGGTAATCGAATATCTTGTTGGAGTTTTTATCGCTAAATTGGATATTAGCGAAGGATGTTTCCTTTTTCGTCTCTCCCCATTGCACGTATTTGTTTTCTTGCACTTTTCTTTCCTCGCCTATTATTTTTGGTTGGTTTTCTTCGCGAGACTGTTTCTTTATCGACTCATTTATAGCGTTCTTGTCGCAAGTTTTCCTGTCCTTGGTTCTTTCTTTCTCTGTGTATTTTTCCTTTTCTGAGCTCACTTCTTCTATAGTTTCTTTAGATCTTTCCATTTTCTTCTTCGAAACCCTTTTATGCTTCGTTATGAATTTTTTTCTAGTTTCCTGAATGTCCTCAGTGCCTACCAGCTCCAAACGGCTACTGCAGCTGTTAGATTTAAGTATTCTGAACTTCACTCCGACGTATTCCTCCATATTCTTACTTTCTACCGATTTTTCCATGCCGTTTTTCCTGCAGTTGTTGCAATCCTTACACCTCTTCTCATTGTTCCTGATTTCCTCCATGATGGCTTTGGTCAGAACAGGCTGTCCAGACTTCCTGTCCACCACCCTGCCACCGTAATAGGTAATTGTAGTGCCGTGCTCCCTAATTTTTTCCAGTATATCTTCGCTTACATATTCGCAGTATATTTCGTTATCTATAGAATCGTACAGGTTCTCCTGGCTGCCAAAATCTGACATATTCGAAGGATGCGAGTTGGAATCCGTAGCAGAACATCTGTCCTTGTCTGGATCGGTGTTATTAGGTACGTATTTATCTTCGGCGTTATCCAAGTCCTCAATACTCTTCGAACTCTTCAACCCGCCCTCGAACAACTCTCTGACTTGTCGTACCGTGTCGGGATTTGGCAGTTCGTCATCATTCACTTCCCTGTTCACTCTGATGGGGTGGTAGAAGAAATGCCTGTTCAAACCAGACTTATTGTCTTCGTCTTCATCTTCTCGCTTGTGGAGTAGAGGCGTAACGTTCTTTATAGTTTTTGTGTTTGACGGTTCGTAATGAACTTTTGAGCGTATAGGTTCAATTATGACTATGTTGTTGTCTATCAGAAGCTCCTGGAAGCTGTAGTCTTGTAAATATTGCATCAAGCCGTCGAATTGAGATTCTTTTTCGCACTTGGCGAATATCTTTTTCTGGAACAAGTCCGATTTGACCACCTTGTACCTCACGTGGTCGAATTCTGGAGGGGCACAAATGCTTTTTGTTTTGCAAACGGTCTTTTTAGATCTTGGTTTAGCCGCGGGTTTATTTGTAGGCTTAGTGTCTTTCTGTGGTTGTGCCTTCTCTGGTTTAGCGTCTTTGTCTATGATTTCCATGGCCGAAGGACAGAGACTTTCGAATTGTCTGTCGTTGTCGAAGAAGGTGTTAGCGTTGTTTTCGAAATAGCTGCAGGTTTCCTTTATCAAAGGAGATATCTTCTCGACCTTTTCTGGTGCAGGTTTTGGTTCGAACAGTTGTTTGGTTAACTGGACTTTACTGGACGGTTTATCTTCGTGTTTTTCTTCGGCTTGTTCGAATATCTTCTTCACGTCCTCGACCTTGGTGTGTAGGTCGATTATTTTACAAGTACTTATGTCTTTCTCCCCCTCATCTTTGCTTTGGTTTCCAGTCATCTTGTCCCAGTAACTTCTCATCGTTCCCAGTCTTTCCTTCAATTCTTTACATTCGTCTTTGCAGTTGGCCATTTCGGTATTTCCCTCTGTTGGTTTGGTCGTGATTGATACTATTTCTGGTTTGGAAACGTTGTGATTCTCGTCGAGGTTGATCTGACTGCCGTGCAGTGTTTCTTTTAGCGATTTGACAGCGGCTATTAACTGTTCGTCAGATTTAGACTTGCCGCCCGATTGTTTTTTGTTTTTCTTTGGTACCTTTGCGATTTTCACCTCGAAATCCACTGGTATGGAGCTGTTAGCTGTGATGTCGAAATGTCTGCCTATGTTCACTATGAACCTGTTTTCTATAGCAGTTTCTCTAGACGTTAGAAACTGGTTAGATTTCTCGCACTTGCGCAGTTTCCTGTCGATTTTCTCGCACTTCCTTAGGTTTTTACTTGCTGTTATGTCGGGTAACGAATAGAATTGGTTCTCTGTTAAGTTGGAAGTATCTTTCGAGTTCCTTCGGGATAAATTCGAGAATTTCTTGGCTATGAAGTTCTGCAAGGGCTTCCTCGATCCCTTCTGGGTTTCAAGGAACTCCCTTAAGTAATTGTGGCTATGATGTTTCGTTTCTTTCCTCGTGTGTTTGCACTTAGCTTCCTCTTCGGTGCGATCCTGCTTTGAAGGCCTCGTGTCTACGGAAACGACAGTTTTATATTGTTCTGAATTCTCTGTTTTCTCTCTAGTGGATTCCTCCCCTGCTGAGACTTCTATAAGAGTCTTTATTGGTGTATCGGAAGTTCTGCTTTCCTCCTGTTCGCCTATTGACGATGTAGTTTTATGTTCTGGCTCTTGCTCGGATTCTTTCACTGTTTCGGAACCTTCACACAGGGTGCTAGTTTCTATATTTGAATTGCACACTGAGTTTTCGTCAGATTCTATATTCACTTCTATAACCTTAGCTATGTCTTCGTTGTTTAAGTTTATTTCGTCCAAATTCGTATCTGTCTCTATGTACTCGCCGCTGGTATCTTCGCCGTCTGCTCTTTCTTCGTCTGAATGCTCAGAATGTGACGGTAAAGAGTTGGGATTTATAGTACCGAAACTGTGGCTTTCGTGATAAGGCGTAGGTCGCCTTATAGTCTTCGGCTTGCTTTCAGTGGAGTCGTACAAGCTCTTATTGGCTGTGAGAACGATGTTCTCATCGTACGAGATGCTTTCGTGCTGATCTACGCTCTCCCACTTGAATTTCAAGTTGTCGAACGATGGGAACTTGGTCTTACTGAGATTGTCCAGGGAAATCGACGAAACGTTGTCGACTTCTACCACTGAAAAGTTATCGGTGTTGTCTGTGTCGTATTTGGAATCGGGGTAGTAGTTGGGCAAGCTCAGCTCGGGCAGGTCCTCGTAGGAAACTCTGTATATGCTGTTCGCGGAAGTTTTATTGTTGTAATTGGAATCGAGGCTATCGTGTTTGGTGGTTTCGGGGATGTTCTGGAGGGAGGCGTACGCGTAGATATCGTGTTCCAAATTGCGGTTCTGTCGATGCTGCTCGATGAAGTTGGGTTGTGGGGGGCTGTAATCCGGCGGGGATATGCTGGGTTGTGGCCTCCTGGAGCGTCCCGCGCTTTCGAGGTTGTCCGCGCTCTTTCCTTTGTACCTGCAAATAATACAGTGTCGGTTACTACGCCTCTTTGTTCCCTAGATAGCTTTATTATAACGTTAATTGTTAATTAAATATTCGACGTATCGGACCGGAATTTTAGAGACAATTAAAGAAAGGGTTAAACTTTTATTTTCAGAAAGTTTTACATTGATAGTTCATGTAATAAACGCGCTAGCAGCAGTAAAAGTTAACGTTAATGAACGGCCTGCACACGGGAGTAGGAGCGCCAGGCCCGCGCATGCGCGTGAACGTCGCCCTTGGCGCGCGCGAGGTTTTTTTACTTGAATGTTTCAAATGATCTAATTCGACCGAAGTAATAGCAATATCACGAAAGCTAAATGAGGTATCAACAATCCGAGAACATGTGGTTCCAGAGGAGATTATACGGAACACAATGCAGCCAACCGAATATCACTAAACATCTCCATTAGCGCGTAATTAAAGGAGTTCGGTTATTTTCTGAAGAGAGCTCGCATAAAGGCTTTTATAAAGTATTTTATCTCTCGGGTGTTGTGTGCTGTACGAAAGGCAATTTAGTTGACAGCAACTTGTCGTAATTTTCGTTCCGAGTGGAAATTCCGTGTTCCCGTACTCGATTATAATGTGAAACAGCCGAGAATCCATCAAATGCACTCTAGTGCCGCACGTGTACACGTTGCTGCCCTAGACACGTCGCTCTCGAAATGCTGGTGCATTGTGGGATGCGCTTTGTGCCTGTCTCATTATTACGCCCTTATAACGTAATTGAGTGTCATTGTGAATTGGGGCATTGCAGGCGTCGATTTGTGATTCAATTTTCTTCTAAATTTCGGGCGTCCCATTTTAAAAAATACACGTGAATATCTCAAGTTAAGGGCGTAATGAAAAAAATTTCAAATAAAAGTTATGGGGTTTTGAGGGGACATCTAAAGGTGACCTTGACCATGACCTTCAAGGTCATTGCAAGGTCAAGTTGATTTTTTCAAATGGAAACATATTTTTGACACCAGAAATGAAAAGAGCAGAAAATTTTACATCCGACTATGACCTTGACTATGGCCTTCGAGGTCTTTTGAAGGTCATTTTAGATTTCGTTGCAAAATTCTACATTTGAGACGAGAAATGAGAAGAGCGGGCCATTTGACGTCCATCTATGACATTGACCTTGACCTTCACGGTAATTTCAAGGTCAAGTAAATTTTTCAAATAGAAACCGGTATCTTTCAGACCAAAATAGAAAGTGCGGAGAATTTTCCTTCCGGATATAACCTTAAGTTTCAAAAGTCATTTGAAGATCATTCTAGTATTTTGCAGGCAAAACTTTAATCTTGTTCATATTTTACTTTTTGATGTGGGGCTCGCCATAATTTTCCAGAATACCCATTAACCCTTTGCGGCATACATTTTTTATTCAAATGCTTTTGAACTCAGACTAGCTCAGAATTTAGTAATAGTTAAATCCGATATGGCGGATCCAATATGTCGAATACTCGATTTGACCTTGAGTTTAACGTAGGTTGAAGCATTTTCAATTAATCCGTATGAATATTAAAAATGTTTACCAAAAATTGGTCGGTCATATCGGATTTGAATAGTTTCAAATTCTGACTTCATATTCGCGATTAGCGCCCTCGAAAACCCCCGAGTACATTATTCGGCAAGACGAAAATGAATTTTGCAACAAAAAACTAAAATGACCTTCAAATGCCCTTGAAGGTCATGGTCAAGGTCATAGTAGTCGGATGTAAAATTTTCTGCTCTTTTCATTTCTGGTGTCAAAAATATGTTTACATTTGAAAAAATCAACTTGACCTTGAAATTACCTTAGAGGTCAGGTCAAGGTCACCATTAGATGCCCTCCTCAGCGCCCTACAACTTTTATTTGAAAAATTTTTTCATTAAGCCCTTAACTTAAGAGACATTCACGCGTATTTTTTAAAATGGGACCCCCGGTATGTTACGACTTCTTATGATTTTTGGGCAGGCCAACAACAGCAAAAAAATATCACAATCATCTGACTACAAAACTGTCAATAATATTCATGGAACAACAATACTATTGAATTTTTTTACCGATTCTCTCGAACCGAGGTCCTGTTGATCAGCTTGGCCCTGGGAATCAGCTGGGACCGCCTCTGTTTGTTCCTTGTTCCGCTCCCGGGAAAGTCCGAGCCGGAGAATATATTTTCTCCGGAAACGGCCCAACTCCTCGTCCTCCTTAGGCTGGACTGTCCGTCGAACTCTCCCCAGGGGTCGCTCGACACGTTCTCTAAGCTGCCCCGCTTAAATTTCTCCTTCGGCCTCTTCGTGTAGGTACTGTTGTCGACGTGCCTGCTGCTGTAGGAGGAGTAGTCTTTGGTGCAGTTGAGGGTTAGCTTGACGTTGTTTATGCAGGATTCCCGCTCGTGCCTGAAAAAGAGAGGTTAGAATTCCATCAAAATAAGTTTAAAAATTGCAGCAAAAACGTTAAATGGGGTGTTTGCATTAAAAAAAGTAGTATTTTTTCACTGAATACTAGCTGTAGTTTATAAGAATATTTGTTCAATTTATAAAAATGTTGGGATCAAAACTTCTTGCAATTAGTGAAAATAAAAAGAACGAACAATAAGTTATACATATTTTTTATTGTTTAAATTTTAAACAATGGACTTAGAGCACAAGTTTTGTTGGTGAATAATGCAATGCAGAATTATTAAATCACATTCTTGCACATTCATAAGGGGTTGCTCTTTCCTTCAGAATTCCGATAAAACCTTTTCGTGAACCGACCATTGAAGGCGCACCATCTGTGCACACTCCAACTAATTTACTCCACTGCAAACTAAATATATTTCTCAAAAGTACTTTGCACCTCGGCAAAAATATCTTTTCCAGTAGTGGTCGCTTGTAGCGGCCGTAAAGCCAGTAATTCCTCTGTCACTGCAAATTCTTCATCTACACTTCGTATAAAAACGGTTAACTGGGCTGTGTAAGATAAATCTGTACTCTCATCCAAAGCAATCGAAAATGCTTGAAAACCAGCCAATCTATCGGTCAATGTTTTTTTGATATCACTAGCCATCATATATATATACGTCGAACAACAGTACGTCGCGATAAGCTCACTTTCTCAAACTCTTTCTTCTTTTCTGGGCACAAAAGTTCTTCAACTTCTACTGGGCGCTCTTTAACAAACTGTCCCTCAGAAAATGACTTCGATGTTTTCGCTATTTTGAAACTAATTATAAAACTAGCTTTAACAACACTGTCTAGATTTGATTTTTGTGAATGGAACATTTGTTGCTGCTTCCCTAATTCGGTAATGAGTTTTTTAATTTTTATCCTTTCTTAACTGGCCCGGGAGTAAATTATATTGAGCGAAATGCTTGCTGGAGTAATGCCGCTTCATATTGTATTCTTTTAAAACAGAAATTGTTTTATTGCACAACAAACACATAGGTTTACCACTGTACAAGATAAAAAAGTATTCATCAATCCATTTGTTTTAGAATCGACAACATTCCGTGTCCACTTTCCCCTTTTTTAAACCAGACATGTTGATAGAATTTGCTGGAAAATTTCCCGCGTCGTACTCTTGACCGTACGCGAATATGCGATGCGAACTTTATCAGTTAAAGAAGTAATGAGATGACACACGCGCTGAGCGGTTTATATATTACCCCCAATAAGCAACTAGAATACTCTCGAGTGCATCGGGCGGTTTCCCGAATGTTTATCTGTTTGTCTCTTTGTGACGACTATCTCTGGCTCGATCTGTGGCGTTCCACTGCGTACGCTTAATAATATTATTTATCGATTTGAATTGATATCGTTATTTGAATTTTCCCAATCTCTCGCGGGCCGGATTGTAGCTGGTGGGGGGCCGGATCCGGACAAGGGGCCGGGGGTTGCCCATATATAGTTTAAAACATGATGCTTAGTTTCAAATCACATTATTTCATCTCGAATTGAAAAATAAAACGATTCTCTCCATATCCTCTCTTCATATAAACATTTTTCTTATTTTTAAACAAAGAACGCGGTGTTAAAATGTTACACGCTAACTTCCGGTCACTCTGAATTATAAAACAAAGACACTGCATGCTTTAAAAAGCACGAATTTTGGACTAATCCTATATAAGGATCATGTTAACAAAATTAATCTTGGCCAGGCCAGGGCCAACCTCCCGACGTAATAAGATTATCGCAGGAACAAGTGTTTGAAACTCTGAACAGGCTAAACAGCGTTAGCATTAACTTGACATAATCCAGATATCCAGAAAAACAGTCGAAATGGTCGGTTCTACTACTCGCCAACCGCGATAGAGACACGCGTGACACACTTGTCGCAGCCTTGAGCTGAAAAATGACCACCTCGTTGTTTACTACTGTAATTATCACTTTTCTGCGTTATTAACAGCATTAATGTAATAATCGCCATCGTGGAATTTTATGAGTATATTCAGTAATCATAGTAATAGCGGAGAATGCGTAAACGCGACTTTGACTGCACGAGAGACGTAAAAATTTTATTTTCCGACGCTGTACGTGTGCAGTAAACTACTTATTGTTATACTAATCTAAAATTGATTTTGTTTTTGAAATTACGGTTAAACTTTTGTCTACGCCGTCACTGGACAGCACCCGAGGTCTGTTGTTACCTTTCAAAACCAACTGTATGAAATTAACAGAGTAGTAGAGAGTAAAACTACAAAAGAAAATAATTTGGTAAAAACAGATTGCGTTTGTATGACTGCGACATATTTTTTTAGTTGTCCATATTTTTTTAAATCAATGCTGACGAAGCGCCAAAAATTTTCTGGTTTTTTCAAAAATAGTATAATGTTATATTAGAATTATTCAAAATGTTAGTTTTGTGGCCAGCAAATTTTGTATTTGCTTTGATAAAAAGACACTTTTAATCATAATAAAACATGCCATTTTTTTTCAACCGAAATCCCCCATTTAATTATTAATTTGTGCTTTGAAATTATTGAAATCAAATTTGGACAATAAAGCAAAGTAGGTAAGTAGGATTATCGACACAGTCATGAATACTTTGTCAAACATTAGTCGCCATATTGCTAACTGAGTTCGTTTGTGATTGTGGTTCAATTTGCTGAAAGTTTTGTAAAAATGGAATCTAATGAACACTTATAGGTGTACCTGAGGAAATACTGGAGTGTTCAAAAGAGCTTTCTTTGAATCTTTGAATTTATTTGAATTGATTTAATCTCCCAAAGAAGTCTCGACAAATTTATGTGTCTACCAACGTTTTTTGGATTGGCGCAAAGAAATAAACATTAAGGTGTATTCAGAAGAATGTATTGATGGTGTATTTCTCAAACTTAGCAGATGAAATGAAATCGTCAACGCTGTGGTCGCAATATTCAATGCTTTTCTCAAGAGACAAAATGAGGGATATGTACCGAAAAAATCGCGAGTATTTACAAAGGAGCAAGTTGATTGCGTTTTGAATAATGCACCTGATAATTTATATTTGATGATGAAGGTAAAAAATTAATATTTTATACATGATTTATTAAATATTGACTGATATTAGTATGTGGATTGGCAAAAGTAAAACTAACATTATTTTTTTACTATTTTATGAAATATACTTGATAAAAAAAGTAATAGATTTGAAATATTTTCAAGATCATTTCAAGTTTTTTCCAGAGAACTGTGTTTAGTTTGTGAATCTCAGTGGCAATTACCTTTGACATTGACCTGAAATGAACTCATATTAATCCACTTGATGTGATATGACAATAGGGCTTTAGGCGGACAAAAAACAAACGGCCAACGTTAATTCGGCGGAACGAGAATGACCGAATATATCACCGCTTCATTTTATTACATTTATTTTAGTTTTCATTATTTTTCATTAGGTACTTCGATACAGAATAAGTAAATATTTGTATTTTTCGTTATCTTTCAAAATAATAACTAAAAAACTAATTAACTTTTAAGAAAAAGTAAAAAAGTTACCCCGTTAGAAAGGCCCTGTTTTTTACCCAATTCCGTCTTCATTATAGGAGATTTTTCCATTAATCTTGGGTTCAAAAGATTAGTGAAAAAGAAACGTCAATTAATTATAGCTCCCAATTTGCTCGGGTCTATTTAACACGGACAAAATATGCAATAGAACGGGTTATAATAATGTTATAATGGGCATTGGAGTGTACAATAGCGTTTGTGCCAGGATATTAAATAGAGTGGAATATCGCGCACAAGCAGGGGCTGCTGAAAGAGCCGCCTATTATCTTATAACAGGATAAGAGCAGGAAAATTGTCACTTCATGTAAGTTCATAATGTAGTTTTTCGTATACCTGCCTGACGAGGCAAAATTAAAGCGAAACATGAAACCGATATTTTATTTAGTTTTAACTGAAATTTAACCGTTGATCTTTTATTTTTTTAAATTGAAACATTGTGATATTAAAACATGACACAAAAACATATAGAATATCGTGACACAAATCTTTATATTTGATGAGAATCTGAGACAAATCCTCTTATTAAAAATAGAAATCCGTTTTACGCAACTGTGTAATTATCAAAGTTATTAGTAAGATCACTGATCTGTGTAACTTTTGCAACAATGCATGCAGTGATACATATAGTTAAAACATTTTTTATAAGAAACTCACCTTAATTAATGAACCGGATTCGCACTGTATGCAGTAGATAGAAATCTGTACCGTATCTCAGATGGTACTGGGGATTTCGACAGACGTAGGTACAGCGTAAGATGGACTTGTTAATGTTTTCATTTGTATGGTGTTGTTAATGAGCCTACGTATGTCAGGTAAACAATTATATTGGTTTATGTAACTTCATATGCCCGTATTACAGGGTGATGTACTTGCAGGGTACATTTTTTGCATTTCTTAAGGAAATGAATTTATTATTAATGGCAATGACAAAACAAACGTCAGTTGTTGGTCTAAGTCAAAGCGCTGTATAAACAAATACCCGATGGATGACTAATATTAAACAATTATTGTTAATGTTTTTGTATGTCTTCGTGTATTTATCAATATTAATTAATTTTACATGAACTTGCAACCTTGATTTGATGTAAACACCGTTATAAATTTCCGGATGGTCATGCAAAGCGAACATAAAAATAATATAATACGCATGGTGCTTCCACATTTATTTCAGGTTTAATGCTTCTATATTCTATACGGTTCTGGCTCTTGCGGAAAAGTGACATATATTTTTAGGATTTTTTTGATATTTTCACGAGATATATCACCTTCCACCTAATCTTTAACACTCTGTGTAATGAAATTTCCACGAAAAAAACAATTCATTTTGTTTAACTTTTAAAGGAAGCTGAGGATTAACTGCAACCACGGACATGCTTTGAAAATTCCGGAAAAACCCTCCAGATCACTGATCAGATACAAAAAGGAAACAT